GGTCAACCAGGTCTACACGACCACGCCCAATAAAAACTCTGACACCAAGTCTCCGGCGAGCTTCCCCCGCTGGCAACACTCTCTCCGTGTTTGTTGCCGGGAGCAGCTGGCACTGCCCACCACCCCACTGGGACGAGGCAGCTGGCAGCCCCACGCCAAGAACCCTCCTGGACTCTGTCCACGTGTCTCTTTCTTGGCCGATTTGACTCTACGTCGTCTCGCTGTAATACACCACAGCCGTGGGTGTAAGGCCTTCTGAGACCTGTGAGTCCTTCTACTGAATTATGGAGCCCGAGGGGATCCCTGATCCCGCAGGTGATGCAGCAGGGAGGGTGGCCCTGGAGACTTCCAGAAGTGGCAGCGTCTGGTACGAGGTGTGCTCGTCCCTGCATCACAGTGACAGGAACAGTGTCAGCCATTCTGGGCGCTGACATCACATTTCCTCTCACCTTTGCACCCACTTCTTCCCTCCCAAACTTTCCGTCCTAGAGGGCACGGTGTGAGGGACACACCCCGCAAGAGGAATCAGGGACCAAGGCTCGGGAAGAGCTGGCCCTCATAAGAGAGTCTTTGAGAAGGGTTTTCCCCTCCTCCATCTCCCTTTTTAAAATAAGGAACAAAACACAAACTCCACACAAATTCGGTCAGTGCATCTGCACAACTCCCTCTGAAGGGGACATGTGGATACCACGCCTGGGACCAGAGCAGCGTGAAGCAGCACTAGCACGACGGCAAGCCGCCGCCACGCCGCCCGCTGCAGTCAGCTCGCACCTACCTTAGTAAGTTACAGAAGTGACCTGGGGACGTATTATGGATGCAGTCTACTAAAACCTCCCTTCTAACTACAAAGAATGGTGTTAAGGAATTTGAATTCTTACTTCCTCCTCCATTCTATAAGTTTATCCACAAGATTAAACATTTTTTAAAAAACTTGATAGAAATCATAAAATATAATCTAAATCTAATGACAGACCTCACTAACTAAAATTATATAAAGTCACATGTTGATTGGGTGGCCAAATATCAAACTGAATGTTGTTTTGGACCCGAAATTCTTGAGTATCATGAGGAAGTTTGTTTTTTTCTGATTGCAATGTTCACAATGATTTAAAGCACTCTTCATATCCATGGTGAATCTTATAATAGAGGAAAACTATGAGCATCACCAGTATTTATGTGCCGTAGGGATCAACAAACCTTCCCCCACTTGGGGCATCCAACACCATGAATTGTCAGAGAGAAGTCGATGCTTTAACCCACGTCAGTGGGCACAGGAGCTCAGCCTGGGCACTGTCCACAAAGCATTACTCTGTAAGACTGGCGGAGCTAAGCCCTAGAAATACGTAGGAGCACCTGCCACGGTGCTGCAGACAAGGACGTTCTGGAAGTTTTCAAACTGGGAATGTTTTCCAGGAATGATAGAAAATAAGTGTGTTTGTCTTTCACACTAAAGACTGCCTAGAAGTCAAACATCAACGTCTCAATTAAAAAAAAAAACTGAGAAATACGTATATTTGCTTACAGAGTCCAGCATGTCACCTCTCTTCCAAACTGGGTTATACAGAATTAAGAGTTTCCCCAAAGACACTAGGAAATAAGGAAAAACAAATACGCTGGAAGCAGAACTATTAAAACAGCCAAAAGCGAACGTTTGTGATTGTTACGTGAAGGCATAAAGCTCTCCGCTCTAAGGAGACAGCGGGTGGGGTAACAGCGTCCATCATGAGCTTCGTGATGGCGGCATTTCCTCCTGCGGAAACACAGCAGCTGTTCCTGGGACGCACGGCCAGCCTCCAGCCGCTCCGGCAGCTCTCCAGCCCCCCAGACCCAGACAAGCATCTCACCTCCAAGGCCAGAGTTTTCCACTATTTCCAATGATGGTGTGGCCACTGCGTTGACAGGGACATCAGGAAGGCAACTTCAGTGCGAAAGGGCCAAATGCATCCTCAAAAATGCATTTGAGATAAACGAATTATTTACAGAACTTGATCACAGAAGGCTTCATTTTGCTTCCCTTTGGGGAAAACCTCAGAATCGCAAAATGTGTGCACGCTCTCAAAACCTGGATCTGTGTCATTCTAAGTGAAGTAAGCCAGAAAGAGAAAGAAAAATTCCATATGATGTCACTCATATGCGGAATCTAAATAAAAATAAAGAAAAAAAGAAAAAAGAGGACACTAATGAACTCATCTACAAAACAGAAACAGACGCAGAGATAGTAAACGATTTTATGGTTACCAGCGGAAATGGGGTGAGAAGGGATAAATCTGAGAGTTTCAGATTTGCAAATGTTAACCACTATATATAAAAATAGATAAAGAACAAATTTCTTCTGTATAGCAGGGAACTATGTTCAATATCTTGTAATAACCTATAATGGGAAAGAACATGAAAACGAATGTATGTGTGTATATGCATGACGGGGACACTGTGCTGTGCACCAGAAACTGACACATTGTGACTGACTGCACTTCAATTAAAAAACACCCGGATCTTATTTCTCAGATTCCATGGGTCCTAGAGCTTCAGACTCGAAGGGGCTCCCATCTAGATTCAATCTCTTCACAGTGGACACACACACAGAGACCCAAAGGCTTAGCCATGGGCCAGAAGCAGGCTCAGCACAGGTGAGTTTGTCAGAAACACAGCATCTCAGGACCTGTGCCAAACCCACTGAATCACAATCTGCATTTAGACAAACTCTCCAGGTGATCTGCTTGCCGTGAAAGCTTGAAGCACACTGGGTTAAGACGTAGTGGAGGGCACAGTTTGGATCCCTGCACTGGGCACTTTCTGTGATTCTTGGCCACAGACCCCATCACACACAAACAGGTGAAACTCAGAAAGGTATGATATGTTTAGCCCATCCCCAAATAAACACATGTGTAAGTGTGAGCGCAGATGCACACGCCATAATAAAAACAAAACCCCGGACTTTCCAGGCACATGTGTAGTAACTCTATTTGGGGAAATTCAGAGTGTGCCTTTATGGACCCTGAGAAAGGAGCCCTGTTCTCAGGAGGCTATTCGTTTCACACGAGATCTCTATATTTCACCCGCACCTGCTGAGTTAAGGGTCCATCACGTGGGACACTCTGCCCACCTGGTGGGATACAGGTTCGGAGCGCTCTGGGTGTGCGCCGATGGGGTGAGCCCACGAGAACGGCAGACGGGTGGGTCCTCTCCCCCGCGGATATCTTCCAAAGCTGGGTCCTCCCCAACCCACAGCAACGCCCTCCTGTTCCATTTGTTGTAATACTGGCTTCCCTGCAGGTGAGCGGGACCCTCGTGGATGAAGAGAGAATTCAAGGGCCTTGAAATCAGAAGCCCGAGAGGTTCATTTACAAAAGTGAGTCCTTTCTACTCGTGGAGGCTCTGTGGGCCCACCAGTCAGCCGTCCGCCTGCACTGTGGCTCAAGTGAGACTGCTCAGGGCTTGGCAGAGGCCTTTTGTACCTTGCCAGCAGGTAAGTCGTGGAAAAAAATAAATCTATGCATCTCAGAAAAAAGGCCACGCAGGCAGCCACGGCGTGCTGAGTACAGCCACTGAGGTGATGACAGACGAACGCTTCCCCGAGTCACCCCCCTGCCTGCCAGTTCCAAAGGCCACCCGTTCGTCACACTAAGCTGCAGAGAAAGCATTTGTCTGTGGGATCCAGCACCTGAAATGGGAGGAAAAACGCAGCCACAAGACATGCATTCAAAGCATGAAACTGTTACGTTCGCTGGAAGAGGTCAGCACCAACAACGGGGCCAGAGTGTGCACCTCTCGGGCATCTCCGGGGTCCTCCGGGAACACCACCCAGTGTCAGAGACGACACAGGGGGTTTCTGTGGTCTCGAGGGGAGGCCGTCGCAGGAGCCTGTGGATGAGGAGCCACTTACAGCCAGTTACCCTGAAGCTAATCATTGCTGCAAAGTGGGAAGGGGTCACCAAACTACTGCATCCCCGGCTCCGACTCGGGCTTGGAGTGGGAGCTCCTTGCTTCCAGAAGAGGAGTCTCAGGGCCAGGTGGCAGATTGATCTGTCTGCGGTCACAGGGCTAAACCGTGCAGAACACTGCAGGCTGCCTTCTCTCTGAGCCACCTGCTGCTGCACCTCTGCATTTATATGTTGAGAAGGAATCTGCAACAATGGGGAAAGCACGCACAATTCAGAGGGGCGTGAGAAGACAGGGGCCCAGAATTCTCAGCTTCGCTCCGGGTCCCTCCGCTCCTCACGCCACTGTGAGTTTGGACACATTTCCCCCACTGTGGACACTTCCTTCCTCTCTCATTCATGTCGGATGGACGGAACAGACAGACCCAGGTTATCCATCCAGATTCAAATATCCACTCCTTGTCGAAATAGCCCCAGTGCTCCCCGCCCCAGGGAAGAGCACTGCTCTCTCTGCTGTGCTCCCACAGGACCTCATTCCGGCACGTGCAGGACACCGATCTCTCTCCAGGAAAGAGCGTTCGCTTACCCCTCCGTCCCCTCCGCCGTCGCCTTGTCTAGAACTAGGATCCCAGTGTCCAGACCTGTGCTACACAATACGATAGCCCCAGCCTCAGGGTTATTTCAATTCCACAAAAGTAGGACTAACTGAAATTAAAACTTCCGTTTCTCAGTCACACTGTCCGCACTTCAAGGACTCAACAGCAACGTGCCCTAGTGGCCACCACACTGGACGAGGCGGACACAGAACAGCTCTGTCATCACTCTAAGTGCCACTGAGCTACACTGCTCTGGAAAAGACTGTGTCTGGTGCACAGTGAAGATGTGTTGAAATGCAGAACAAAAAAGTGCACAGCAAAGCGTTAGTGGGGGGCATCCGAGTAAATTCAGAAACAAAGCTGTGTCCTACCGTCCCTGCTTCTCCTAGAAATGCCGAAGCTTAGAGCCAGTGGCTTCAACTTCTCATTCGAAATTGTTACTAGAAAAAACTGTAACAGGCGTTAGAAAGATGCAAGACCATGCTCTCAGGGCTGCCCACATTTGGAAATACTTACTCTCCGAGCTTCTAAGCAACCGCGGCTGTGCTGCCACAGAGTGGAAAACCTCGCGGATGAGAACTAGGGAAACAGTGTAACGGATGCTCGCAGACTTGGCACCTGTGTCTGTGAGCCTCCTTCCAGGGCTTCGGGTCTGGCCTTGCCCACGCTGCGTCTCCGTCACTGTGGGACCACAGGGTCCCCTTCTGCTCTCTGGAAAAGTGGGGGCTGACGTCGGGCAGGGCATGGGTGTGCTGTAAACCTGGGTCCCGCCACTAATCAGCATATAATCTTGGGAGCTACGTAAACCCTTTACTGCTCTGGGCTTGACTTCCTCTCATTTCAGAACAAACGCAATGATCTCCTAGGCTTCCTTCTGCTTTCACAGTCTGTGGTTTCCCGGTGCTAAACGGGAAGGATCCCCAAGGCTTCCCCTGCTAGTGTAGACCGTTCCAGGTGGGTCAGCAAAAGGCATTTTCAGGGCCACATTCGTATCAAATTGCTTCCTATCCCTGCTTCTCCCTTCATCCGACATCATCAGTGAAACCCATCCTCAGGCAAACACTTCAGCGACCATTTCGCCAAGTGAATGGGGATCCCTCCCGTGCCCTTTGCTGCAGTGAGAGCTTCCTTCCGCCTTGGCGGGTAACTTCATGATGACTCCAGGTCCCAGCTCTTCCTGTGCCTGTCACTGTTTTGGTCCTGCCTCTTCTCACCTCCTGTGGCCCCATCAGCTCTCACCCCCGAAGGCCACACCCGCTCCGGCAGACCGCTCCCTGACCCTGGCCACGTGAAGCCTGCATGAGGGCAGGGGCACGTGGAGATCTGAGACCTGATCATCGTTCCCTTTTCTTCCAGTCTCTGACGGCCGGCGCCCTGTGGGTCTGAGACCGTGACCTCCCTGCGCCACTGGACCTCACCAAGACTGTTCCAGCAAGTGTGCGTAATCACCACTCCCTCAGCGGAGTCCCAGGGAACAAACCCAGACGGCTCTCCTGCTTTAAAGGAGCTCGTGTCGGGCGTTACTCACCGTAATGCACATTTCCACTGAAGGCGGAAAAGAAACGTAACAGCCCAGACAAATGAGATTTCTTTTGCAAATTATCACAGGTCTTACGACATCTGTGTTTTGTCTTCTCTGTCCTGGCAAACCAAGTCACGCGACCAGCACAGACAGTGGTAGTGGAGCGGCACACTCATAACAGAGGGGGGCAGTGCATACATTTCACACCCTATTATTTCCTTGCTCTTTTCCATTTCCTCCACCGCAGAGGGTGGAAATTAGTGCAGGCAATGAAGTCTCTGAGTTCCAGATTCCAGTTCCACCATGGAAAGAGAACTTCACAACAGCTTGAGCAAAGTTCTGTTAATTTTTTTTACCTTCACTTTTCTTCTAAGCAATGAAGTCAACACTACTCTTCAAATTAAAAAAATGCATATATAACATATACATATTAAAAAAACAGTAAAATAAACAAATAATTTTTTTAAAATGAAATAAAATAAAATAGAAGGGGACACAAATATCAAACAGCGGCTCAGTGAAAGGGGGCCGCAAAATTAATTTCACCAATGTCTTCCCTTCCAACCTGCTGCTTTTTCCAGATGCTAATTCCTCACCAATGCCTGTGTTGACCACACACTTATGGCCCAAACCAGGACACCACTGGGAGTAAAAGGGGGTGGTATTAAAGTGCAAGCCAGGACATTGGCATAAACCAGGGCTGGCCTAAGCAAATTGGGTATCTGGTCACCCTACCTACAGAGCGCTTTTTAAAAACCTATGAACGGCTTTTTATCCCCGTAATGCTCGTAAGTATGGATTCTTCCATTTTCTCCTGATACCCATTCCAAGTTTCTGCTTTTAATTCTCAGCTTTGCCTAGAAACCTAAATTTTTTTTCCAGAAGCATCCGTCTCCATACAGACCCCAACAGTGATGTGCAGTAACCCAACCTCGAACAAAATGTTAAGATCAAACCAAAGCTGTGTACTTCTTATCTCTCTAAAAATACTGTGAACTTGGAGCAGCAACTCCATCATGACGGTTCATCTGGACCCTTAGCTGTGCCTGCCCTCCCAGGACCCCTGGATTCTATCTGCAGACCAGGGGCACCAAGTACCTCCCTGTCCTCACTCCGTCCTCGTGGGAAGTCGGACTATTTCATTCGCCATCCACCGCAGGAAGAGATACGAACCAGCGCTACACAACTGGCTCTCTGGAGAAGATCATGGCGGGAAAACAAAGTGGTATTATTTCCATGCAGCAAGCGCACTAATGACAGGATGAAGGTCGCAGCAGCCTGCACCCACTGCACAGCATGTCCACCTCACAGGCTGAAGCCAGCAAGACAAGAGAATGCCAGAGCTATGCCCTCTGGATAAACACGGGACACGGAGCACACAGGAGCCTCTCCAGATCTGGACCAAGTCTGTTATGACGACAAGGGAATACCAGTGCATTCACTGGTGTCAGGTAGAGTTTTCACACCTTTTAATTCAGGTTTCTAGGGTCACGGGGTCAATTTTATCACAATTACATATGCACTGTTGTTTGACTGAAATACAGATTTTGAACTCTGACTTGTATTCTCCAGGGATGACTTGAGAATAGGAAACAGTAGTCTCCCCTGAATTGGGAACCATCGAAGGCACGACCACAGCATGTTTCTGGACAGGGAGCAGAGAGAGCCACACAAGGGTTGCACCGTCACCACGAACAGAGCCCAAAGCTTAAATGCCAGAGACGTCTCTGGCCCGAAGATGACATTTTCATGAGCTGAACTGAACATAATTCAGTTTGTTTCATTCCCTGCAGTCCTTTAATTACAGATCTTTGCAGAGTTAAATGATCACTTTTTACCAAATCTCAAGCACATGAGATAGTGAGGTTTCATTTTTTCCCTTGAGACGTGGTGGTGCGGTCATCCAGATCTGACAGAGACTTCACCAATGAAGCATGGGTTCAGCAGCCTTTATGTATGAAAAATAACTTGGAATCCATTTTTTTTTCAATAAAAGTGTCAGGTTGAAGGTTCAATTAAAATGATGCATGCAAGTAATTTGGCAGTTCCTGGCAACGGAGCCTCCAAACAGGTAGGATGTCCAGGTAACAGATATTCAGGCCCAATTTATATTTGTTATTTGAATCCATTAAAAACGTGCCCCTGGCCTAAACATTTAGAGATGTGTGTATGACAGAAATGTAAGTGTCTCTCCTCTGAGTGTTAATAACATTTACTGAATACCAACCATCTTGGTGCAGTTCTGAATAAATCACAAAAGCATCATCCAACTCTTCAGTTTATAATGAAAACAAAGCAAGCAGGACCAACTGACCCTCTTTCAAGTCATTAGAGTAAATACCTAATTAAGAAGCACTGCTCTCTCTCTTTGGGAAGGGAATTTCCATCACAGAAGAGAGACTCCAGCTAGACTTACGTTGATTTTAAAAGTGACCCCCAGGCCCACGTGCAGACATCAACTGTGAGCAATGAGAACGCAGTTTGTATCTGAAATAAAGCTGAACAGTGAGTCCCAGGCGCAACACTGAGCTTGGGGGCTCACGGTCACCAAGGCCAGGCATGGGTTTCTTTTTTGCTGCAAAGAGGTTCCCTGGAAGATGTCATCTGCTAGATAGACCCTAAGTCCCTCCTCCGTGGGATGGACGTGGACTGAGGGGGCCGGGCCGCAGCCCCGCCTCCCCCGCCCGCCAGCCGCGTGGTCTCAGGCACATTCCCTCACTGCGCTTGCATTTCTTCTCGTGGAAAATGGGAGACAGTAGATGCCATCCCAGGAGCCTGGGAGGACCAGCCGCCTGTGAGAGGCTGAGTGACCCCCAAGGTTCCCCACAACGTCACTTAGCAGCATGGTGTCCACATCTGTTAAAACTCAGAACATTCATCAAAGACACAACCTCCTGCCTGGCTGAGAAAAGGGCCTGCTGGGCCAGAAAACACTCACACGGCTGCTACAGAGTCCGGAGCCTGGGGTAACGACCATGACGCAGGGACAGATGGGAGACAGATGGGTTCTATTCGGAAGAACCTGGAAGGGAAGGGCACACCCTGCGATACCCGTGGTCAGAGGGGACGACAAAGCTGCCGCTTAGTTCCGACAGAGACAGTGAAAAGCAAAGGAAAAAGGCACATGGAAGTACGCCAGCATTAAGCCGAGCCTGCACTGAAGGGGCAGAAGGGGAGAAGAACTCATGGGCAAACATCAGTTTTTCTAACTGAGGGACTGCCGATGCACAGTGTCATGTTAGCTTCAGGTGTACAACATAGTCACTCAAAATTTTTAGATTATACTTCATTTAAAGTTATTATAAAATGTTGACTATATTCTCGATTCTGCACAATATATCCTTGTAGTTTACTTATTTTATACACAGTAGTTCGTACCTCTTAATCCTCTATCCCTGTCTTGCCCCCACCTTCCCTCTCCCCACTGGTCACCACTAGTTTGTTCTCTACATTTGTGACTCTGTTTCTGTTTTGTTATGTTCATTCATTTATTTTTTAGATTCTACATATAAGTGGTAACATATGGTATTTATCTTTCTCTGTCTGACTTATTTCACTGAGTCTAATACCCTCCAGTTTTATCCATGTTGTTGCAAATGGCAGAATTTCATTCCTTTTATGGCTGAGTAGTATTCCACGAAAATAGACTATTTTCTCACACCATGTACAAAAATAAACTCCAAACTGATTAAAGACCTAAATGTAAGACCAGAAATCATAAAACTCCCAGCAGAAAACACAGGCAGAACACTTTGACACAAATTGTAGCAGTATTTTTTTGGATCTGTCTCCTAAGGCAAAGGAAACAAAAGTAAAAATAAACAAATGGAAACTAATTAAACTTAAAAACTTTTCCAAGGCAAAGGAAACCATCAACAAAATGAAAAGACAACCTACTGAATGAGAGAAAATGTTTGCAAATGATGAGACCCATATAGGGGTTAATATCTAAAATATGTTAGCAGCTCCTACAAGCTAATATAAAAAAACCCCTTATTAAAAAAATGCGCAGAAGATCTGAATAGACACTTTCTCCAAAGAAGACACACAGAGGGTCAACAGACACAGGAAAAGATGCTCAACATCACTAATCATCAGAGAAACGCACATCAAATCCAACATGAGGTGCCACGCACACCTGTCAGAGCGGCTATCAGCAAAAAGATCACAAATAGCCAGTGTTGGCGAGGATGCGTGGAAAAGAGCCCTTGCACACTGTCGGCAGGGATGCAATTTGGTACAACCACTTTGGAAAACTGTATGGAAGCTCCTCAAAAAACTAAAAATAGAACCACTGTCTGAGCCAACAATGCCACTCCTGGGTGTGTATCTGAAGAAAGCAAAAACACAAATGTGGAAAGACACATGCGCCCCAGTGTTCACAGCAGCATTATTCACAATAGCCAAGATATGGAAGCAACCTGAGCATCTGTCAACTGATGACTGGGTAAAGAGGTGGTATGTATTATGTGTGTGTGTCTGTGTGCACACACGCACACAATAGTACACACATACACATAATAGCAAACACAATTTTTATAACATATTTGACACGTAGTTAACCAAGCAAAGAGTGATTGCAACGTCTAGCGTAGGGACAGACAGATCCCCAAGTCACCTGCTACGTAGGCGGAAGGTGCCTGTGAACGAGAAGGGACGCAGGATGTGTTGCAGTAGAGCCTGCCTTAACCAACCCCTAGGACGTTTCCAAATGGGAGAGAACATGTCCCATTTCTGTCATGGAGCCCGGCCCACCTAACCCTCCGTTCAAGGCTCTGAACTGACTGAAGAAATGACATAGTGCATTTATCCTGTCCTCCTGCCCTCACTGGCCTCTTAACTGAAGCAGAAAATACGAGGACGTGCGTATACAGCTTCTGTGCATTTGTTATACACGGTTTGTGTAAAGTTTTAACCTGTGAGTACCTCGCTCGTACCTCTCAACAGCCTTCACCCGCAGCAAACCCGTCAAGCCTCCGACACAGTGGAATCAAACTGGCTTTATCTGTTCCCAACTTCACCGCGCTCAGATCCCCCAGACATCACCCGCCCGCAGGTGCCAGCTGGGAAGGAAACTCAGAACTGCCACGGAAACAGCAGCAGCACTAGAGACAGCAGGCCTCGCCCTCCTCCCAGCGGCCCACGGCTCACAGACGACGGCGCGGATGCTCACCCCTGTGAGCACGCGGGCGCAGGAGCTCGGGGACACGCGTCGCATCACTCCGGGCGCCCTCCACCCCGAGAGAGGAGCCGCCCACCTCCACGAGGGACGGCAAACGGGCCAGCAGGACTGCGCGGCTGGGCGACCAAAGGCAGCGAGGGCTTGGCAGAAATCAGATGATGATGAAAACGGACATGCACCTTTTGTGTAGAGCTTGACAAAAGCATCCGTCACCAAGCTCGGAGCGCGCCACAGACACGGGTCAAAAGCCCGGTGGCAGCTGGACCCGCCACACGCCATCATCCAGCCGAACACTCTTTTTACCAAGCCCTCATTTCTACAGCCTTTCGTGCAAAACAGCGTCCTTCCCTTCCTTCCTTTTTAATACAAACTACGGAGTTTCAGCTTTAGGCTAACTGTGCCAGTTTAAAGAACAGTCCACAACACTCCAAGAGAGACGTTCGCACGCTCGCAGCAAGCTCCACGCTTAAGCTACTTCATCAGCTTTTTCAAGATGTGTCTGGAATGGCATCTTCTTCATTATTCCATTTATTTCCCCCAAACAGGGCTAACGGCCTCATTCTTCCCCGCAGGCAGGCTGGCTTCCACGGTGCGCTACACACCAGGAGCTCTGATCACAGTGACACCATCTTGCTTTGTGTGGAATGAACGTTTCCACACGTCACCTGCCTGGATTTTTGCATGGCTCTGAAACCAGGCTGCTAACTTCACAGTCGTGTGACGTTAAGAACAGGCATTTGAAGTAAGCATATTAAGCCACCGTGTGTGTGATGTTTATTGCCTATGAAAACCCCTCTCTGCACTTCCCTCCTCACAGCAGATACCCAGTGAACGCCGCCCCCGCCCTGGGTGCCCCCGGACTAGGAAGTTTCTGTTCCACCCTGTGCTGCTGTGGCTTCGTGAATCTACTTGGATTCCCCTGTGGCGGAAAACTGCTACCCTCCCTGCAGGCGGGGCCTAGGCTTCCCACGGTTTGGACTCTGCCACGTCGCCTGTCACAGCTGGAAAATGAATTATTAAACGTGATTCTCTTCAAGACACAGAACATCACAGGTACAAAGTTTCAGAACAAATGAAAATTGCTTTCCTTCTGTTGCGGGCCCTTCTGCTTTGTAGGTTCTTGTTAACGTGTCAGAACAGGGAGAGGGTGGGGACAGAAATAAAGATTTATCAGATCGTGCTTATTCTGCCCAAAGAAGAACTGGCAGGAGGAGGGGACCAGCTGTTCGGCTTCTCCGCACCTCAAATGCCTGTCCTTCAATTGACACACAGACGCGCTGCACCCTGATGTACGGGAGCGTCTGACGTCCACGTGCTGACAGTTCTGTGTCACAGTTCAGGGTGTGGGACCCCAGCGCCTCTGTCCCAAGACAAGGGGACAGGTCTGCAGATGGACATGTGGCGTTGGCCAGGCCAGGCAGAGACCTTCCATGCACCTCCCCAGCTGGGGACGATGGGGAGGGGACAGCTCTCTCCTACGGGCTGAGCCAGGAGGTGCGGTGGCGGAAACTGTTGGCAGATGAGGGGCAAGAGGGTCTACAGAAGAGCAGCTACTGATTCCTCACCCTGTGCGTCCCCGTATCATCAACTCTGGGAGCTTTCCAACAAGCTTCACTTCTGCTTAAAGCAAACAAGGTCCACAGGCTGCCGTCTGCAGAGGAGGCAAGAACGACTAGCCCCCCCGCACATGGACATCTCCCACTTGCAACCTTCAGCAGTGCCTGGTGAGCAGCAATAATGAAGCAACAGAAAAACAAAACAAAACAAGACCTTCACCTGCCCAAGTCCCTCTCTCAACCCCTCCTCAGCTGACTGAGGCTGCGCCCTACCCCGGGGCCAGGGTTCATCTTAAGGAGGGTAGAAAGGGACACGAGGAAAGCAGGGTTCTGTGCAATCGTAATGCTGCTTCTTTGGTGAAGGTTAATTCAGGCTGCAAGTTACAAATTCTCCCAACGCAGAGAACAATGCCTAGCACACAATCAGAACTTGCTAAATTCAATGTTCTTATACTTCCTCTTGATCCGTTGTGTCCGAAGTGTGCCTGACACCTAGCAGACGCCCAGCAAATGCACACGCTGGGTGAGCACTACTTCTTTTCTGCTAGTTCTCCATAAATGCTGATACAGGAAGAACATTACTTTTCCTGAAGCTTTAGAAAATGACCACATCTGCCAATGTAAGTGCAAAACCCAAACACAATGAGCCCATGTTTCTCTTCACGATGTGGACCTTAGATACAGTTTGTTACTTGGGGGTGAATCCTTTCATTTTACTGTAGAATTAAAGATATTAGAGGGTATGGGGCAATTTATAGAAAGCAAGTGCAGTACAGAGCTGCTGCCCAAACGCCAGACACGAGCCACAGGTGGAGCTTTGGCACTTAAACGTGGCCAGTCCGAACTGACATGTGCTGTCGGTGTAAAACACACACCCAACTTCAAAGAGTTGGTGTGAACAAAGAAATGTAAAAGATTTTTCGTTAATAATTTTTTCTGTTGGTTTCATGTTGGAATAATAAAATGCTGGGTTAAATAAAACATACTATAAAATTAATTCCATCTATTTCTTGTAATCGTATGTGGCTACTAAATTTTTTTTAAGTTGTATACATGGCTTGCGCTGCCTCCTTATTAGCATTGGTGTTTGACTGTTGCACAAATACACAGGAGAATTATTACTCTATTCCAGACATTACAACATACAGAGGGAAAGTAGGAGTTTTATGTTTGTCTTTGGAAAAAAAAAATTTCACCTGATTGAGAGCAAAAACAATTTGAGGGCAAAAAAGTGCTTTATTTAATCCTTACCTCAAAATAGGCTTTGTCTTTTTACATGAAACAATCATCAGCTATAATTTT